TATGTAACCTTTGATTACCTATTTAAGTAGTCTACCCAAGAATTCTACACTAGCTGCCATATCTATAATCTGCTAAAAAACTATTTAATTAAACACTTTGGTTTTTATAACAATTAACTACTCCGGTTTCTATACATCTAAGTGCCATTTAGCCCAATATTTTGCCTCTTTTTTGTACATCTGTCAAGCTGTTATCTAATTTCAGAGCATGTTATCTGACTATAAAGCTCCAGGAGCCTTCTTATTAACTATCTACCTATTATATAGAACATTAACAAGACTTGCTCTTGCAGAGTTTACTCAGACTTCAGTATTTACTACATAGCATATCTCTAGTACTTTTAGTATACCTCTGTTTTTTCTTCAAATTTCCAATCTAAATAGTCTGATAGAATTATGACCAGTTCATTGGTATATCAAGTTAGCTCAATATTTTTTCTTCTGATTTTCTTAGATGAACTTCTGACCATCTGGTTAGTAATATTTCTATTCAGAGGTTTTTGCCCATCTAGGTACTCTGTATTGGTATTTGTTTCTAGGTCTAGCCTTTACAATAGTACTATTAAAGATTTGTGTTACCTCTTTACTCAGGTCTTCTTAAATGAACTTCTTGTTTTTCAATTTCTATAGATTTACACAGCTATAAAAACTTATTTTGGGTTTGTACCACCTGATGTCAGTTTGCATTCCTCTGTATAACAAGTTACATAAATGCCCTATAACCTGTCATTTATGTTAGCATGATCATAATTACAGGTATCTTAATCTAATTGTTAGAAACAGTTGTTATAATATGAATATTATATAAGTAATTATCCAAATTTTTGCTATCTATAGGTTTTGAACTCACAACCTATTACTTCGAGGGTTGACAACTTATCCACTTCACTAAGTCATTACACCTCTTATTATCAATCAATTAATTCATTTTATTAAAAGTTTTAATTTTTTAAAAAATTAAAATTTTATATAAAAAAAATATAATAAATTGAAGTAGTTAATAACTTGTTAATCCCAAATGGCAAATCTAATATTTAAATTTCATCTGTATTAAAATTTAGAAATTATATTTGTGTTATAACAAAACTGTTTTTTAATAATTAGATTAATTGATGCATTTGTAATTTTAGATATACTAAGTAATTTAAAATTTAAAGCATTTATGTATATAAAGAAATATTTATTGGTATTATATAGAACTTTGGTGCAAATTCATAATAAGACTATCAGATACAAAAGACTAAAAAATTTAAGAGATAAAATATTATTAAGAAATTTCAAATAAAAAAATAGTATGAATTTTTAATAATATTATTAAACTAATAAAAATTTATAAATAATCTTTAAAAAAATAAGTAAATATAATAAATATATATAGAAAAATATATAACTAATTAGACTATTAAATTTATTAAAAAAAATATATAAAATTATATTATATTAAACTATTTGAATTAGTAGTTTAAAAAATCTTGTTAGTTTAGAATAAGAATATTAGTAAAATATAATAAAAAAGATGTAAAAAAGATAGATACTAAGATTTTAGTAAACTTTACAATAATAAAAATAGTGTAATAATAGCAGTATAATAGAATATTTATAACTGCAACTGTTAATCTAATTATAATATATTATATAAAATTAGGTCAACTATGTATAAGATATAAAAGGCTTTAGTAAATTTTTTGTTAAAAATAAATTAATTTTGAAGATATTAATACATATTAGAACTTTAAATAGGTTATGTTTTGAAGATTTCTATAATTCCAATTTAATTACATATACAAAAGATTTAAATAAACAAGATTTATAATTGACTTGCAAGTATATTATTTAATATAGAACTTGTATAGTAATGTATAAGCAGACTATTTAAATTAATATTAAAAATATACATGTAGTTAGCTATAACTTTCTATGTAAAAAAAAAACTCTTAGAGGTTTTTTGTATCTATAATAACTTAAATAAAAATTGCTTCTGAAAACAGAAACTTTAACACAAAAAAATATATATATAATTTTAATTTTTTAAAACATTTTTCTCTTTAAAAAATTAGCTAATTCTTGATAACTTTTTAATAAATCTTTTTTTAAAGAAAATAAACTAAATAATTTTTATTAAAATTTTAAATCTTTAATTTGATTTTAGTAAAAACTTGATTTAAGTAATTATTAAAAAAATTAATTATATAATATTAAATTTTAAAATATTAAAAATTTTATTTATATTTTTATATAAAAAATATTAATTAAACTGATAATATAAAAAACCAAATTTGTTATATATATCTATTTAATAATGTTTTTTTTTAAAATTTTGTTTAATTTATATATATTTTTTTATATTAGTTATTGTTTATATATAAATATATTTTTACATTATTTCTATTCTAAATTTTTTTTAAGTGACAGATCACAGTTGAAAGACATGAATTTCATAGTAAAAGTCGACGAAGATTTACTATTGTTTTTATATAATGTTAGAATGCTGAAAGATTCTGGCAATATATAAAAGTCATATAGTTATAAAGAAGAAAATTCGAATAACTCACGGTCTACCAAACTAATTTGAATAATTTTACCACTATTAGAACCGGAATAACTTGCTCTATAATCATTGTTAGAAACTCAAGAAAGGTTTACTTGGCATAAAAAAAATTTTTTATTGTAACACTATCATCTTAGTAACATTGAATTTTGGTTACCAACCCGGTGATTACATCGAAGTCTAACTGCATTTTTAATTACATTTATAAATATAAAAAACATTTATTAATCAAAATAACTTATTTAAGTTTATGAATATTAATATTATTTAATCCACATTAATTTAATGAGTATAAAAAACATAAGTATTTAAAAAATACTATTTAAGTTCAATTTCATTTTAGATCGTGAGTATAAAGAAGTTTATTTATTTAACTATTTAAATAAGCTATTTAAGTTCTTGTATATTTACTATTTAATTCCAGTTTAAGAAACCTGGTTTAGTGACCATAGACTAAACAATTAATATTGATCGATCAAAATTTAAAATAGGATGTCATTAATATTTTTTTTATTCATGCCGATTGGTCTTTGAATAACCATGTTTCAATCAGACACTTTAATATAAACTATTCAATACAGCAATACAACTAATTTATTTTTATTTATAGTCTTTTTATTCGTATTGATTATTTTTTAATTTAACTTATAAAGCAATTATATATCATATTTCTGATAATTATATTATAAGAAATAATCTTCGGTAAAGAAATGTTATTTGTCGGTTATTGCTACAACATATACACAATTTCCTGGTTTAAACGAAGTTGTGTTGTACTTCACAATGATACACAGACGATGATTATTTTATGTAATCCTGAGGGATTTATTTGGTTGATGTAATTACTTATGCAAATGTATTTGAGCATCGTGCGCACAACATGAGGAATAATTCCAATTAGAAATTTTTATACGTAGAGAGACGTATTATAAAAATTTTATTATAAAATACACGTGTAACAGTAATTTAAACAAAATGAACGAATTTTCATGTTATTACTATATATCGGGTACGTATTAATATTTATCGTTATGCCAAGAATGACAAATTAGAAAGTGAGATTGATTAGTTCGATATAAAGTTTGCTTATGCCAAGAAATTAATGTAATTTCATGTCGCCATTCTTAGAGACCTGATTATGATTTATTACCGTACATGAATCGTACGATGTAGGATTACAATGTACCCCTTTACGGTAAATAATTTCGTAAATTAAGTTAAACCAAAATTTTAAAAAAATTTAAAAGTTTCCTTTTATGCTTTAAAATTCACACACTTATATTAATAACCCTAAAAAAAAATTTTCTCTATGACGCTATCACGAATAATAAATTTTTTTATGGTCATTCATGCTAATTCTAACCACGTATTTTAATTTATTTTATTCCTATCCCCGGAATAAATAAATAAACTTGCGCCAAATTAGGTGAATGGCTAAATTGTTGATTTCCTAAGTAGCTACAGATAATGCAAACTTATACGTACATGCTTTAATGTAAATTCTTAATTTGGTATTTCATTTTGAAGGCTTGAAGATTTGATTCTCTCTAAAGTGTTCCTGTACGTGCAGTATTACTTAGTACATGCATGATCACCTGGTCACTATTAGGGATTGTTATGCATAACTAACGCTGTAAGCTGTATAGAAACAGGTCTAAGCTTGTTCAAGCTATCATATATTTTTTAAAAAATATCAAATTTTAATACGTGATCATTAAAGTAAGTTGCTATAATACTGATTTAGTTCAAAACCGTTTCATGATAAGACTGTCTATTTAGATTTACATTGCCTATGCTGTACAATTATTAAAAATAATTTCCATGTAATAGCCAGATTTAGAAATTTAAATAATTCCCAATGTGAAAATTGGTGGATATATGGTGAATAAATTGAGTAGATCGATCGAAGTAAAAATAGGAATGATTTAGCATGTCCTTTTCGTTTTTAGTAATCTTTGATTATCATTTTTTAACTAGTAAGAAATAAATAAAAAAAGTTCAGAAAAAAATGTGTAAGCTTTGATCATCATTGACGTTTACGTTATTAACTTTAGGGATATATTAATTTAACCTACTCCGCCCATTGATCTGTTTTATTATAATAAATACAAACAGACTATATTAACATCTATAGTTTAACTCATTTCAAAATTTCCAAAATACACATAGAATAACATTTCATTTATAAGAACACATTTTAAATGAAAAAAGTTTCTGCTGATATTATTTTTTATATTATACATTATATGAATGAAAATCAAAAGGAATGAGTAACATAATCAAAGAAACGTGTTACATAGTTTTCAAATGTTTATCGGTATTTCATTTTTTTTTACAAATCTAAAATTTACAATTATATAATTAGTAACTTATTTAAGGAAAAAGGGAATCGTCAGAATGTTAAAGCTCGATTATTTTCTAAAAAGGCAAAAGAAAGTTTCAATGTGAATTTTTAAACCAATTCAGACCAATCTATTTCTTCAAGCTCTTGTTCTGACTCAAGTGAAAGTAAATTTATGCGATCAAATTGATTATTATATTCATCTTTTGGCATTTCCTATTATTAAAAATAAAAAAAAAATATTATTAAATGCAAGAATATATGATATAGGTATTTGAATATAATGACTTACATGGGATACGAATATCTCTTCATGATACTTGATCATTGCTGGCTTATCATTATTAATCAATGGGACACCTTCAGTGTAGCCCAACATTAAAAGACTGACCAGGAATAGATAAAGAAGGAAATTACGGGAGGTTTTAGAGCATAAGGGTAATGACATGTTATACTTTTATAAAAGTAATATGTGTGAGTTTCGAAACAATCGAAACAAAAAAAAATTTCTATTAGAAAAAGGGAGTGCAATTTAATGAGTGTTCAAGAAAAACTAACCTAATCTGTGAAAAAGGACGTATTTATATTAAATAGTTATGTTTTATTGAAATATTTGAATACGTACAAAGAACACAAATTAAATTAGTACATGTAGATACGTTTTTTTTAACATAAATGGCTATGTGTGTGTACAAGTACACACGTACATATTTACATGCATTTGTAACATTCACCTATTTACCTTATTTTTTTGGCACATAAATGACAAAGTGATCCTGTTTTAAGTTCCTTATAATATTAAGATTTGTTAAACTAAATCACTATGTTGAAATTATAAATTTCCATTGTATGTAAATTCAAAAAAAAATAGCTTAACAGTATAACTTTTACATTTACATTATGCAAATCTCATTTAGCTTAAACTTATACATACATAAACGCACACTCCATAAATATTCCCTCTACATATACCTTTACATATTTCGCTCTTTATGAATATAATGAATACACATGCACCAGGCATATAGGAAATTCCGGTCATCCAAAGTTCATTCTTGATGCATAATTATTGCGGTCAAAGAACGATAATAATAATAATAATAATAATTTATTAGCTATTTAATATTATTGTTTTAATATATTGCTTTTAATTTAAATAGATCAAAAACGACGCTTCGGATGACCGGAATTTACTATATGTCGTTTTAGCCCTGACACATACCCTAAATGAACATTTCAATTATGGTTTCAAGGGAATATTAAAACTTTCATAACAATAATTTGATGATGTCTATTGGTGAGATTTTATCATCTCATTTACCGATTTAGTGTAAAAACGCCATATTTTATCACACCTTGTTACTATTTACTAACAAATAACAAAATGTAGTACCTGTCATTATACTCCTATAAATAACATGATTGATAGTTTTTACTTGTCTCACGTTTAGTTCAAAGTTTTTTTACTAAAAAAAGGTTTAAAAAACAATTTGTAAAATTGTTTATTCTTTTTGTTGTTTCAAGTCAATTTCATAAATATTATTGTGATCCTTACGACCTCTACTATTACGGCGATTTTAAGTATTGACTAGATGCAACCTATAATTGATCTAAGTATACTGATAGATTTTTGCATCCATCTTTTCACGGAAAGTTGTGTTAGACGTACGTTTTCTATATGATCTTACAATCAGAAATGCCAAAAAAAAAAAAATAAATAAAAAATTACGCACTTATACATTTTTATACATTTAAATTATGCGAAGTGTACCGCAATGTTTTATAAGTAACTGATCCAACGGATCAGTTTTTTTTTTTTTTTTTTTTTTACTAAATACTGATACTCTGTGTTCTTAATATGTATAATGATCAGCTAAAACCACTCTGTAACTCAGTATAAAACTTGACTTAAAATCGATATAACCTAACTAATAGATATTCGCACCTGAATTTTAAATTATCTGTTGCCCGTCGGTGCTATCAAGTAAGCACTTTAGTCATTGTGTCGATGAACAAAGTTTACTTAGTGGAAAATATTTTAAACGGACCATGCATGTTTCTCATTGTAAGATAAGAGATGCGATCCGGATATTCTCTAGGGTAATTTTATAACAAATTATTACGAAGAATCCGAATATCTGAATATCCGTTAAATTTTAAATATGAAACGGATAATGGATCGCATCTCTATCAATAGATGATCGCCCATCACACGGGAATCTACAGATTCTTTTTTTTTTTGCAAATTTCCCAAAAATAACAATATTTCCAAATATTCCCTATTGAATGCTAATTTCCTAGTATTAAATCCATTATAATATTGGATTTTTCTTTTAGTTGACCAAACAATATGAATTTTTTTTTAACTTTATTCTCATAAATTTTGAATGAAAGAACCTTGCTAATACCTTGCTTATTTTTTAATGTTCAAGGCTATTTTCGAACTTTACAGATCAATAAAATTCAAAAATAATCTTAAACATTTAAATTAGAAAGGGATGTTATCGCAATATCTTCGATCAAATACTGTTGGCCCTTCCAAAACTGATCCTGTCAAAAACAATAACCTGCTACAAACGATTAATATTTATTCACCATGTCGGTTCGGTCCCATAAGTAATATCAACTTAACATTCCTGATATCCGATAACCCTAAGTTTCCGATTTACTCTAAGTTGTTTATATGTAACAATGGGCCCTTTTAATATGGAACACGAATATTATCACAAGGTCTACCGTTTGAATACAACTGGGAATATTGTTACCCTTCTGTTAGTCACTGACTCCTTCCGTTGGTTAGCAATTAACCTTGACAGTTCGTAACCAACGGAATATCCAATCTCGAAATCCTTAGTCGATGTAGCTTGCCATTCCTATAATACAACATTTTTTTTCAAATTCAAGAATGTGAATCATTTTTAATAAATATGATTCAAATTAATGACAATGTTTATAGTATTCATTTAAATAAAAGTCATTGAAAATGGGTCAACTGTTCATGAAATATCGATATTAAATTGGCAAAATAACTAATTATTTTCACTGACTTTCGATTCTAATTTTAATGTTTGGCACCGTTTAATGGCCATATTTTGAGAACAACTGATCTATTTTCCATTATCCTAAAACAAATCTAATAGTCTGTAGCATTCTTTTAAGCACAGATCATAGAAATTGGATCGGCCATCTTCGATTTTTAAATGGACCAATATACTAAAGGAATTAACATGTGGAAGGTAACGACTGTGTATAAAATCTTAACCCAAAAGTCCAATCAGCCCTCTATAAATACATGCACTATTGTGATATCACCAACTATTTTAATCATACATAGTAGCGGTAGTCAAAATCATATATTGAAGATCAATAAGGATTTTCTGCCGGCTATTTTTCTTAATAAAAACATATAAAGTTTAAATGTCGGATTTTAACAATCGGGTTTCGTCTTATATGAAGAATGAAAGAGCGCATGAAGAGGAATTCAATAAATATAATTTCACATGTATAAATTTAGTAATTTAGAAGTTATTACCATTGAAACTTTATATGTTTTTATTATTAAGAAAGATAGCCGGCACAAAATCCTTATTATTATGTTTGTGATTAAACTAATTGATGACACCCCAATGCACTATGTATGCTTTTTTCTAAATGCACACTAATCTTAAGTTCCAAGCACATAGATCACTTAATAAAATGCTCTCCAAAATGCACATCCATCCTAAATGAACATTTTCTAACCTTTTGCCTATAGTCCTAAGGGATCCCAAAACCAATACAGAACGGACACTCTTAGAATAGAACCGTATTTATTGTAGACCCAATTGTATGTAATTTAAAAAAAAAACTATAAATGGGGGTCCACACTAAACCAGCGGGCTTTTATTGTAATTGGCCAATTTTTGTAGATCATCTCGTAATACTGTAAAAATTTTATTGGCCAATCAAAAATTTAAATTGTGGAAGCTTCCACGTATAAAATAATTATATCTATGGCAAAATTAATACTTGCAGAAGTTTTTACCATTAAATATCAATAACTTTAAACCTAAAACTGTAATCTTGTCTCAGATAAATTCAGACAAACCAAGAAAAAAAAATCTTAATATACACAAATCAAAAGAAAAAGACAAAGAGTGAATCAAAACGAAAATTATAAAATTAATGTTTAACCCTATTATAGAATGCTAATAACTAATAAAGAAACAATCCGAAACAACTCTATGTACTTGTTTCAGATCTTTAATTTTATTTAATAATTGTTATATAGTTATAATGCTCTTACGAATTCTACAAACCTTATACATAATTCTCAACTTTGTTTTATTTGTTATTAGCTTAGATAATAATCTGATTTTTTTATTAGTTATGTTACAGTGAATAATTTTTCACAAATAAAAACAATAAGACAACTTAAATTGTCAACTTTATTGAAGTATTGTATCTGTAACCTAAATTTAAACGTTCTCTCATCTAACTTCTGAATTACTTTGACAGTTTATAAAACAAGATATATATTTTAAAATATTTTGGGGTTTAACCCTTACCAATTCGTATTCGTGGCTGCTAATCCATTTTTGTGCTTGCGAGACGTTACTCTAAAATGTAGAACATATTGTTTAACATTTTATCTGATTATCCAATCAAAACTAAAGCCCCGCTATGCTCTCATAATCTAGAACCGGAACTGAAATTTCTTAATTCTGTCAAGTTAACATCTTATATACCTTTAATAAAAATTTTAGAGGATTGTATGATATTGTTATTTTTGTCTTCATGATCACATAGAATTTTCTTTGCAAAAGAAATTTCATATGATTACAAATATATAAATAACAATATCTCATGATCTACCAGGCCAATTTTGATGATTTTGCTATTACCAGATAAGAAAAACTGTTTATACAATTTTTATTAAAGGTATATAAAATGTTAGCTTGACAGAAATTGAAAAAGTTCAATTCTGACTTTAGATTATAGGTATTAATACGTAGCTTTTATTATTTAAGATCTCCACTTATATATATAGAAATTTTGTACATCTCTCGCGAATTACGAATAAATAATAATCATAATTTGACAAAATTTTTATTTAAAAAATACTAAGCTTGTCATTTCATTACTTTTTACTACAAACCATCTTTTTATATATATATATCTCTGGCTTGGCAAAATTTGCATCAATTGAATATTCAAAAGATCAAGTAATTTTGTCGTGAATTTAAATTTTCAACATCACCAAACTATTTTTTTTTATACTAAAAAGTTTTATTATAGAAATAAAAATGGTTCAAAAAACAATTACATAGCATTTTTAGTCGCCATTATATGCCAACAAATTCAACTATATATTTCGCTGATAATTCTTCATTTAATATAATTAAATGTCCACGGAAACCTAAACCTAGTGGCGTCGAAATTTGATAGATAAGTAATATATATATATAG